GGTCCCTTCCAGCCCCTAACATCTATGAATCTATGAATTTTTACATGCTTTAGTGTTTGCCTTGGTTTAAATGCAGGGAATACAATGATTCATTTTTGTCCAATATATCTGTTGGATTTGCTTCCTTGCTACTTTTGCCCCCTTTCTTCTGCAAGAGAGTACCAGACTAAAATCCTGCAAACCTGCAACAGAAGACTCCCATTCATTTAAGTTCAAGTTTCACCCCTCTAGAGACTACAGATATTGGGCCTATCAATACAGTGCTTCAGCCCAAGGGAAGTTTCTATTACTGACACATTCAAGGCTCCTGCAGTCTTATAGGAATATGCAGCAAAGCACTGTAGATAATAAAGTGATTCTTTTAGTTTTGTTAAACAATAGAACAAAGTTAATTATTGTGTTGCTCAGTACGCAATTGTAATTTAATCTCAAGAGTGTTAGTCTCTTTCATGAGAGAGACTAACATGAGTGCTCCTAGTTCCGTTAATTAATATTTGGTTACTTTTATGTGAAATACTTAACACTTCACGGCATATTATGTTTTGCCTCGTAGACCAAAAATGTTTACATTTTTAGATGAACAAAGTAAATTTAATGCTGTATTTTCTTATGTTTTAAGACTTGTTTTATGCCATCCCTTTGTAAGAAATTTACCTTGGACTTACCAGTCAACGTCAGAAATTTTGAAAAGGAGAGACTGTTTTGCCTTTGGAATGAAAGTACTTTAACATTCTTTCAGCATTAAATTTCTCTCTCAAGCACTTTTTGGCCTCCTTTCTAAAATAACTTTACATGTTATTTTCTAAAACATTATCCGTTTTCTGTAATCTATTAATACAAAAATGTTCACAAAATATGTATAAAAATCTTCTTGCTTAATTACCCTTTAACTCGATGATAATTATGTTGAAAAAATACTAGAGATTTTAATCATGTATCCAAAAAAATCTTTATTAAAGCTGAGTTTTATAAGGCTTCATTTAAGAGATGAAGATCAACACAGAATACTTTACAGCATTTGATGGTCTATAAAAGTTATAGACTTATAGTATGTAATAAATGTTACTAGAAAGTTTCTAATTACTATTTTGCATAACGTTATTTGGTCTATAAGGAAGCTAAGATAATGGTTTCAGGAGGAAGGCAGAGTCAGGTAACGCGTTTTGCTTCCAAGTCTCAAATCACATGTTTCCACTGTTTCTTTTTTTTCAGAAGATACAGTTGCACCCAGATGTCAACCTCTCACAAAGAAAAATGAAACTGGCTATGATAGCTTTTATGAAGAGTACCAGTCTGCAGATGAAGAATGTTCCTGGAGCAATGTCACACTTGCAGATTTGTATCCAAGCATGGTGGAGAACCTTAGTAAGCTGATCAACAGACAAACTCAAAGAAAAATAGCTGATTACATAATCAGAAACTACAGACGCAGAGGATGGCATCCTAAAAAACCAAGACTTAATGTTACCATGGTAAAAACAAAAAGGTTCAGGCCAGCTAAAGTAAAGTGCATCCTGCAGAACACACATGATGATGGTAATGATCAGGAGAAACAAAAATTACTTCCTGGAAATAAAGTCAATGAGAATAATTATGACACATGTTTAACTAGGGATGAATCTGATGTGCTGTCTTGCTTACCTTTTAATACCGAAGCAATGGAAATAGACTGTATAATAGACTGTTCTGGAAGTTTCGCCAATAATTACACTGAAAGAACAGACCAAAACATCTTGAAGTCAACTGGTTTTCCAAATGCAGTCATTAGAACAGATGAAACATTGTTGATTGAGAGTCCATCTCAGGCTGCTGTGTCACTGAACCATTCTCAAAGTAGCCCAACTGAGAAGCTTCCTGAAATATCTTCTCAGAAATACCCTTTTGTAACTTGCACTGGAGGTTTGGGATCAGTGTCTCTTTGTCTAATGAAGGATGGCGAGAACAGCAAAATTGATGGTGTAACTTTTGATAGTACCTCAGAGAGAAATTCTCCCACTTGCAACTTTAATGTTGATGCTAATACCTTTCTGTCACTGAACAACTACTCCTTAGCAAGAACATCAGATGTATTTCACAGACAACCTGAAATAAAGCCAATCAAAGGAGGTGTTTTGTTGCAGCGCAGTCATTCATTTTCCTCACTTCCTGTGAATCAGAGTCCTAGCAAGGCTCAACAGAAATATGAGACTGCGTTTGAAAAAGTTTACCAGAAGCTGTGCTCTAAAGAACTTCAGAAACCACTTATATTTCCAAAAACTCCTTCAAGCCTAAGGAGATTTGAAGAGAGAGAAAGTGTATTCAAAATTAATTTTTCTGATTCTGAAAAGTGTCATAAACAGTATGATCATGCATTTGACAAGATTTACCAGAAGTTACATACTGAAGGGCTTCCAAAACTCCCTACTTTTTTAAGAGCTTCAAACTTAAGGAAATATGAATGCATACAAATGTCTGAAACTGTAAATGCCCTAATTAATTCACCCATACGAACTTTGCCTTCATTGGCCAGAATTAAGAGAGTAGCAGATATCCATAAGGAAGATCTTCTGTTTTCACCACTAAAGAGACTGAAAAATGTACCTGAATCTTATTGTCCTAAAGGAGCAAGTCCAAAGTCCTCTCATAAGAAACATGTTAACTCTCAGATGACTGGCATGGACTTATCAAACACAAAGGATGGGATTGTTGCCAGCCTCTCTCAAAGTCCAAATAATCAAAATTATGACTCTGAGAACTTTGTAAGGAAACTTTTACTGTATTGCCTTCTTTCCCCACGAACACACCTGAAATGTTAAAAGTCTTCTCATGCCCTCATAAAATCTACATCCTGGGGAAAACTTTCAGCCTTATTTAATGTAGAAGCAGTCAAATAATTTAAAAATATTAAACAATATCTTTAATTTTAGTTGATTGCAATGACTATTGAAAGAAAAAAAACCCCGAAAATGTTGTTCTTTGAACATTAACTAAATCATGCCGGCTAGGTAAAGACAGTCAAAAAAGCCCAAGGCTAAACTGATTCAATCTTAACAGGTTAATCTAAACTGCATATATTAAACCAACACACAACTGAACAGACATTCATTTTTGATTTAGGAAAAGCAACCACATGCCTGCAGTGGCCCAGGCCAAAAGCCGGGCAGTGGGGGGCACTAGAGCATACCCACTTGCTCAGCTGGAGCAGACAGCCTGGGGCTAGGCTAGCCTGCCCACTCTGTGAGGTAGGGATTTGCGGGGGAGATGAAAAGCATCCTGGGATGGTGTGGGACTGAGAGTTCACTAAACTCTGGAGGGGATCTGGGAGTTCAATAAACTGATTTAACCTAAATCACTTAAGCCCGATATGACACCCATCCAGATTTATCTTAAACCAGTTTCGGCCATTTTGAAAGTAGTTTATGTTTACTGAACTTCTGTTATATTACAGATTTGAACCAGTTTCCAATCACTTAGACCTGTTTGTATGTAATTTCTGTCCCTAGTTCTTCACAACTTTCCTGTGAAACTAGCGAGTATTACTCTCATTTTATTGTTGGAAAAATTGATGTTAAAAACTTCATACGATCCTGTTGAGACCAATAGCTTTTTACTGATTTTCATAGGTCTTAAATTGGTCCCATAGTCCAGGGTTTCTTGTCCTGTTCTCCAGCAGTGTTTCCTCTAAGCTGTGTGGCGCGTGTGGCCATGCAGGCATGCTCATGCTATGCTGCAAAGCGTGGCCACGTACACCACGCAGCTTAGAGACAGCGCTGCTCTCCATTTCAGGCAATGAATGCTAATATGTTTGAAAACTCATTTAATTTATCAATGCTTTTCTTTTAGAATTTTGGGTTTCCTGCTTCTCCAAATCGTACTTTTCTTGTTCATCCAAGTACTTTCCTGCAAGGTAAGTTCCAGAAGGCCTTGCTTTATAGGTTAGGATAACTGCTTTAAAGGATAAGCCAGTAGATCTCTGCAAATCATTTCCTAAATGACATCCATTTCCCTTCCCCCAAAACACACCTCATACAAAACAAATCATGAAAGGTTTTGTGAACTGCAGCTTGAGAATTGTTTGGCTATTGTCTTCTTCCATTAAACCAGAAACTGCTTATAAAAAAATTATATAGTGTTTTTTTCCTCTGATCTGCTTCAAGTGATGTACACATCTCTCTGTTAATGTGAATGGGGAAATTGGTAATTAGTTAATCTTATGCTTTAGGAACCAAATACTTTTATTAACAGTTTTAGGGTATGTCAACTTCCAGCTGCATTTGGCAAAATGTGGTTTGTTTTTTGCCTTAAACTCAGTAAGCCAGTTAATCTAAGTGATAAGAATGTTGTGCTTGAGTTGATAAGAGAATTTGCTCAAGCTCTAAATTTGAAAAATTAAGAATGTTTTTTCTAGAGGTGCACCAATATATCAATGCCATATTGGATCAGCACCAATAAAAGGAAAATTAACATTATCAGCTTTTTTGGGTGGTGTGGCCAATAACGTTAACTAATAAATATAATATGCCTTCTGGCGAGGGCCCCCAGATGCCCCAGAGAGCAGTGACCCACAGGTAAGTTTGTGGCAGGGATGGGACATGGGGGAGGGAATGGGTGTGGGGGGGTGCAGATCGAGGTCCCTCATGGTGAGGGAGGGAGCAGGGCAAGGGCTGGGGGCACTGCCCAGCCTTGGCAGTGAATGGGACCTGGGACTGGGGCGGCAAGCAGGATGGAGCCGCAGGCAGCTTTTCCAAGGGGTGCGGGGCAGGGGGTGACTCCCCTATGCTGTGCACACCCCCTGGGGCAGGCATAGGGGAGCATATGTCCCCCAGTTTTGTGCATGGAGCAGATGCAGGCTGCCTGCTTGGCTGAGGCCTCTGCTCTGCTGCCTTTCCCTCAAGAGCCTTGTGCTAGTCACATGCCCCCTGGCAGCATTGGGGGTGGTAAGTTGTGCCTCCTGCTGCCAGGCAGTCAGGGGATGTGCAACCAAGTGCTCCTGAGGGAAGAGCAGCAGGGCAGAGAGCCCTGATCCCACAGCAAGCAGCCCACATTCCTCCGCTCGCTCCAGTTGACTCCGGTTAAAAGTGTCTGAGTGCTTAAAAATGGTGGTGGCAGGCAACGTTTGAACTAAAGCTCATTTGCCAAGCTTTAGTTCAAGCACACCCGCCACCATTTTTAAACACCCTGAACAAGCTGCCCGCAGCTCTGTCCCGCTCTCTGCCCCAGACCTGGGTCCTATTCACTGCCCTGGCTGGGCAGCACCCCCAGCCACAGCCCTTGACACTCCCTACCTCACCATGGGGACTTCAATCTGCCGCCCTTCCCCTCCACAGACTAACTTGCAAGGAGCTGGTCTCCACTCTGCCCGGCTTCATTCCTGTAAATTGGTTATCAGATCGGTATTGGCTGATATACCTGGTTCATGATTGGCCAAGAAAATCTTTATTGGTGCATCCCTAGTTTTTTCATCATCTTTACATATTTGAAAACTACGGTCTTGTCCTCCCATCCTCTCTTCAAGTCTCCTTTTCTCCAAACCAGCCCTGCCTTGTTCCTTCAACCTTTCCTTATATGACTTACATTCTATTTGTCACTTGCCTCCTTTTCAGTTTCTCTTTTCTTGAAATGTTGCACCCTAAACTGAAAAAAAGTACTTTAGCTAGTATTGAGTATTGTGGTGCTATCCTCTCCCTTGTCTTGCATATAGAGATTCTGCTAATGCAACCCAGATTTGCATTTTTGGTTGTTTCTGAGTATTTTGTGACCTTTAACCTCCAGATTCTTTTCATTAGTGCTACTGCCAAGCCAGTTATCCCCTGTGCATCTGTTTTAGTTTCTGGCATTAGCATGTTAATTTTAATCTTTTTCTCCAAAGCATTTATAGCCTCTATTACTTGTATGTCCTCTGCAGATTTGATCAGTTTACTGTCTTCCTGTAAAGTAAACAACACTGAACATGGAACAGGTCCATTTGGAGTCCCACTTGGGACCTTCTGTTCATCTGACATTGAACCGTTAATAGATTCCCTTTGCTTATGGTTATTCAGCCAGCTAATGCTAATTCTAGCTACCCACACTTCTGCTGTTTCCTCACGAGAATATCTTGTGGGACTGTGTCCAAAGCCATACTAAAGTCCAGGGATATTATGTTCACCTCTTACTTTTCCTATCAACTCAGTTACCCTTGTTAAAGAAGATAATCAAGTTTGTTTAGTATGGTTTATTCTTAACACATGCGTTCCTAGTTATCATGCCTTCCTCCTGACTTTTACTATTTTGTTTCCTCCAGTAGCTTCTCAGGTAGGGAAATGAGTCTAACCAGTGTTTAATGCCCTGAGCTTTCTTTTTCTCCTTTAGAAAGGTGGGCACTACATTAGTTCTTCTCAGTAGGGGTGTGCGAAACAGGCCATATTCAGTTCAGATTTGGCTTGAACCAGGGACGGTGATTTTTGTAGCTGATTCAGATTACTGTCACCAATTCAATTTGGCCAAATTCGAATCTGAAGATATGGAGAATTAGTGATTCAGCCATAGGCACAGTTTTAAATGTCTTTTCTACATACCTCGAGGTACCAGGCGCGGCTCGTGAATGCTGTGATGGTGGGGCAGATGGAATGTCCTGCAGGGGCGGGGGTCCCTGTATGCTCTGCGCCAAACCTGGAAGTGGACCATGAGTACTTCTGGTCCACTTCCGGGTCCTCCACCGAGCGTGCAGGGGGCCCTCCCATGCTCCCCTGGCTTGGCAATTTGGCCACAGTGGGGGGAACCACAGGTGCCCCCCCAGACCCAGGAGGCTCCAGTCACCAAGTGGGGTGGGGGTGCAGGGTGGCCCCCCAATACGCTCCCCAGCAGACCTGGAAGTGGACCAGAAGTGCTTCTGGTCCACTTTAGGTCTGCTACCGAGCATGCTGGGGACCTTCCCCCCCTCCCCAACGCTCCTGAGGGACACTCTATCCACCCTACCATTGCAGCATTCACAAGCTGCCTGGTACCTTGAGGTATGTAGAAAAACATTTAAAGCTATGTCTAAATCATTGAATCTTTCCAAATCTCTCCAAATTGAATCTGAACCCTCAAGGGTCCTGATTTGACTTAGAGATTCAGCCACCAAATCAGGCCGAATCTGCCAAATCGAATCAGCAACTGAAGCTTCTCACAGCCCTACTTCTCAAGTCTTCTGTCTATGTTGCAGCATCATGTATCAGACAGGATATGCCTGAGTGTGTCCTGTATCAGCTGGAAATGCACTCCAGACCCAAAAGTTCACTGGTGAGGCCACTGAGGGGTAGTCTCTCAGGCAGCTCTTGATCCCTTAGTACTTGCCTGTCATCTCTACAGCTAGTTCTTTCAGCACCCATGGGTGAATTCTGTCGGTCCCTCCTGACATGCATTCATTCAGGTTGTCAAAGTTCTCTTACACATTTTTTATGCAACATGATCTTTGTTGATAGTATGTTGGCCAGTCTTGTGGTCAGGTGTTTGTATGTATATGTGTGTGGTGTCTTTTGTGACTGAAGTAAATTAGTTACTGAATAGTTTACCTTCTCTGCCTCTTCCATGAATAGCTCACCTATCTGTGAGCAGCTGACTCATAGTTGTCCTAGTCTATCTTTTTCCTTCCTTTGTTGAACCCTTTCTTCTTACCCCTTCAACAACTCTACCGAATTGTAACTCTTTTTTTCTGCTTTCGGTTTCCTGATTTTTTTTTTCCCTTCGCTTTTGTTCTGTTCTTGTATTTCTCATATTAGCAGTTGTCAATATTTCCTGTGCAATAAGTTACATTCAGTTCCAGATTTTCAGTTCAAAGGTAATGGTGATGTTATCACCTCAGAAAAAAATGAATTGGTCTCTGAGAATGTTCTACTTTTATTGCAAGAAACACTTAAGATCAGCTGAAAGAGATTAGAGGTCCTATGTTTCCTCAATTTCTTGTGCTTTTCACGTGTTGGGCTTTCAGCAGTGAGACCACTACAGCAGTACTCTGAAGGGAGCTCATATAAATGTTACTTTCTGGTCCCTGCAAGAGGGCATATGCTGTTTTCTAGGAGCATGAGGAGCAGAGCTGCTGCTGTTTCCAAGTTTGATATTGTGGAGAATGTGCCCTTGTCCTAGGATCCCTGTATAATAAAAGGGACAAGAAACCACATTTTTCACTCCCTAGACCAGGCGTGGACAACTATTTATGGTGAAGGCCATATAGGGAGTTTAGATGACCTATCGTGGGCCAAGTCGGCCCGGCTCCCCTACGCAACAATGCACCAATAGTACCTGTGGGACTTTGGGGTAGATGGAGAGCAGTGTTCGGGAATGGGATGGGTGAGCAAGGCTGGGCCATAGGGCAGTGACAGTTTGGGGCCGGGCAGGTGGAAGGCAGCTGGAGCCAGAGCCCCACACACTGAGGCAGGAGCCTCCTGCCTAAAGCTCCCCCACCACTTGGAGTGGTGCAGGAGGAAGAGGAGGGGCAGCTAGAGGTAAGGGGAGCAGAACAGCCCTGCCAGCCCAGGCCCCACCAGACGCATTGCTTCCAGCAGGGTTGTTCCCAGTGTGACTGCAGCCAGCTGGGTGCTGCTCTGCTCCTTCTCCCCCTGCTGTGCCACTCTGGGTGGGGAAGCTTCAGTTGGACAGCTTGCACTGGAGGTGAGGAAAACAGAGCAGCACCAGGAACAGCCCCACTAGAAGCTGTGCACATGGGTCAGGGTCCAGGCCGGCAACCATGGGCAGAAGCATGGAGCAGGCTGCCCCAGTGAGAGCAGGTGGAGCTCAGCCCCATGCAGATCGCTGCATGTGCAGCCACAGGCTGGATCCAGTCAGTTGGTGGGCCGGATCCAGCCTGTGGGCCATATTTTGCCCACCCCTGCCCTAAAACATTCTGTGCTTATCTGAGGACAAGGCATAGTGAGATCACACACACAT